AATAAACCAATTGTGCAGCAATCACAAATGGTTTTCAGAACTCTAAAGTGTACTCCAAAAAATATGTAAAATTGAGTATAATATTTTTTCTAAATAGGAAGATACAATTTCGTATTTGTGATAATTTTCTAATGCCAAAATGTGTGTTTATACAGGCAGAAAAATGATGTAACTGCCTCCACCATGATCCAGTATTATTTGTAATTTTTATGACTAGGGGTAATTGATTGTTAATACTGGACAGTTAAAAACTGTCATATTTTAGTGACTAGTTGATCCATTAAATAATTTCGAAAATGATTAAAAAATAATAATTTACTATTAGGATCAATTAAGCCCAACCCCAAGACCCCAATCAAAGACTTATAATATAATGCGTGAGGTGTGACTCGAACCCCCGACCTCCCACACAAATACCTCACTTTTTACCAATTGAGCACTTCATCTAAATTAGTTATTTCTTTCACATATTATATTTATTGTATAAATATCTAACATAACTAATTGTACAGTGTATGTGCTTGCATATTTTGTAGCAGATATCACTACGTGAAAAAAATAATAATAAAGCAACAGAGTCATGAATAATCATTTCTTAGTATTAGAAACCAAGTTCATTTATAGCTCGTGTTTGGTAGAAATTAAAATCAAATTTTAATAAAAGTTGATAAAATGTGTAGTTTAAAAGTTATGTCAATGAAATTTGTGGTAAAAATTAGTTGTTAACTTTGACTTACATTTTAATCAGATTTTTTAACGGTACCAAACAGGGGCATACTTCCGTGTGGAGGAATATAATTAATTAGTAGAATTACGCTATTTGTACATTGATTGTTTCAAGTGTTATTAAAATTAATAGCAAAAATGTTGGTCACTTCACACATTGTCAACCAAACTATCAAACAAACTGTACTTGTAGCAAAATTGTAATTAGTATATGCTTTACATAGAGTCGTACAAAGAACTGTATGAGAATCACAGGCTGAAATGCAGCCAAAGAATATTTTCCCAGGCAAAACTACAAAGTAATGTGGGACAAAATGAGATTATAACCAACCGTTCATGTTCATGGCCGAATATAATGGAATTGGTATCCTAAAGGTTGTTTATTAAGCTAACTGGTTAGAAATTCTACTGAGGTATTGATATGAGCTACCACTCAGAAACTTTATGTTAGTTCTTATGTTCGTCACCAACTTTCTCTCCAACAGTAATATTCGTTCTCTCGATGATAAACAAGTACTATAAAATTACTAACGGGGAGTTATTCGTTTCATGTTTGATCGACTCTTTTCCTACAAATTGATACAACACAGATGTTCATTTGACAGATTAAACAAAAATGAAAACCTAGAGAAACAATAAAACGTTGCTATTTTTATGACTTTTCAAAGTCCAATTGAAAGAGTGCAGCAGACATTTGTGCTAAAAAGTAGTGCAAGATCCTATCATCGTGTCCTGAAATTTTGTTCCTTTCCTTTTCTCAGTCAAA